CAACTAACTCACGACTTAGCTGACAGAACCTCGAGAGTATCCTCCACACGTTCTCACGCTACGAACGCTCGACCAAGACTGATTTCATAAAAAATTTGCACTTTTTCGGTAAAACCCCTTAAGACCCCTTTTTTTGTTTGAGGCGCACTTTCCCGAATCTTCTTGGATTGAACAAAACAGAGAGTGATGGAAAGTTGAAACTTGGCGAAGATATACATAATAGATAGCTGAGCAAAGAAAAAATCCTACTTTTGAAATATGTCCCCTCAGGAAGGATTATGGGAGGGAAGTATTTCAAGATGTAATTCTCGCTATGACAAGTAGGGGCTCAAAGAAATTTTAAGCATAAGCACGGGAGAAATCGTCAGAGTAATTATTTCGGTAAGATTTGCCACTTGGAAAATTGATAAATGATTCAATAATTATCCTACATGTTAGAGTGCCGAAAGAACGGTATATAATATATTTGAAACATGTAAATACATCATATATAAGTAATAGTAACAATTAAACGAAAAATTCAGATGAAAGTATGAAATGAATAAATAAAAGAGGAAACACACCAACCTCATGATAGCGCAGGATGACAGACTGAACATTAAAAAATGAAAAGGAAGCAAGCAGGAAGGATGTGGATGGAAGTAGGACCGCAGATAATTCGGGGATAATTTAAATAGTTCCTTGCAAAAGTCCGTTCATTCCCGTGCAGGGGGTGCCGTGGGATGTGTGGTGGTATTACATACTGCTGCTGGCATTCTACATGACCCAGTTGGTCATGTTGCCGTTCGACGTGAAGAGGAATGACTACCTGGCGCAGACAACCCACCACGTTGTCACCATCGGTCTCATGGTGGGATCCTGGATCAGCAATGGCACCAGGATTGGATCCGTCGTGCTTATCGTCCACGAGTGCACTGATGTCATGCTTCAGGTCTGACGGTCTTCAAATGTTTATGATAATCTAGCGAAATATTCATGTAACGAAAAATTATATGTCAATGTCAACATCGATATTAAATTCCATAAAACAGAGAAATATACATGTCCACTGTAAAATATTCTGCATGAAATGCGATTGTTGTCTGCAATGTGTGGTTCAACTTACGCCTGTGCACAATTTCCAGTGCGGGAAACTACTGAAATATTTCAAGAAACCTGATCCGAACGACATCGTCGGAAAGGTCTTCGTNTTCCAGTGCGGGAAACTACTGAAATATTTCAAGAAACCTGATCCGAACGACATCGTCGGAAAGGTCTTCGTGATCTTCTCAGCAACTTGGATCCTAACCAGAGTCATCTATTTCCCAGTATTCATCAACATCCCGTGAGTCCTCCTCGCCCCTCACGGGAATCCTCCCCAATTATAAGGTCCTTGAGAATCCTCGCATCCACCGCCCATAGAGCCACTGAAGCCGTCCTGGATCCAGACCGACTTGGCGGCTGCTTCATCTTCAAGGCCCTCGCCGTACTGCTTTGGATCCTGTTCGTTCTTCATCTCTACTGGACTACCTTGCTCATTCGAGTGATTTACAACGTTACCATCAAAAAGGTCTGATAAAAATCTTAATTTCTTGGAAGTTCTAAGAAGGATCCCGCCCAACACATTTATTGTTGGTTTCTTCCTTTCCTTATTTATGATAGAAAAAACTGCACGACAACCGGAGTGGAGATGAAGGATCCGACGAAGACGACGTCGATGAAAAGAAATCAAAATAGGATTCGCGGCAATCCCTTTGAATCATTACAATTGTTTGATGAACTTATGCAAATGTTTTAAGCTTGAAAATCTACAACGGTTTAAGCACCGACGGGGACACTGTGCTCAATTACTGTTGGAAACTTCATGATGCAATTGATCACTTATGTGCTTTAAAACATAACTGTTGCATTAAAGTACCTTTAAAATAAATATTCCGATGTTATACCTGATAGCCGCCAGAAATCAACTTCATATTAGGGCACAGACATAGAGAAAATATTCATGTAGATATGTCGATAATGAAACTATTCGAAACAGGTCGTCATATTTCTCCTGTATTTCTCCCTCTGCACCAAGAAATCCAAGCGTCTCACGTCTCCTAGATCAGAAGCGCCCCGACTGGCTGGAACGGGGAGGTTTAACAGTGGGCACAGTCCCTCTCAGACAGAACAGAGTGATGCAAGTCTTTTTGGCCCTGAGTTCCTCTGCATCGTCAGGCACTGTTCGGCTCATGCGGTGAACAGTATAATAATGGAAAAAGTTCACTTAAATTAGGAATTAAACGAATGGCGTGTAGTGGATAGAAATAATGGATGCTTAACTCTGTGTCAAAATTGTAGCCGTTGAATTTCTGTTTAAAAATACGTTCATGATATTAGATATATTGCTTTTGATACTCACGCTCGGAAGAACAATCGACACAAATCATTAATACTATGGACCTCAGGCATCAAGAATTGAAGGACCAAAAAGGAAAGTGGACTATCCGGAATGGAAGTTTATTTTCTTGAATTCCTTACGGAACAAGTAAATAATCCAGTAATTTCTTAAAATTGGGTAGAAATTTTTATGCGTTTGACAGTATTTCCCTTTCAGATACCCAATGACATGCGATCATCAACGAAATGGCCGACGTGTACAAAATCAACTTTACTTTTTTCTCTGGAGTTTTGGCAGGGTTGTGAATATGTAATATGAGTAATTTGTTGAATGAATATACACAACTTCTTTCCAGCGAGAAAATTCCAAGTGAAATCTGTGTCGGATTCGCTAATACCAATAGAGGTGGAAGCCGAAGAGGTACCAGAGCTGGGAGACAGGGGCATTCCAGGTGAAGCAAGGTGCACTCAATCCCCGCCGAGTAAGGCTTGAAAGGCCCTAAACGAGGGGTGCTAGTCAGCAGGGTCGGTTGTGGTGGCGTTGCATGGTTATTGGTAGACTTCGAGGATGACCGACTATATTGAAAGGAAGACATTAAAATGATGACTGGTGCGGCCATCCCTTGGGTGAAAGTTTGGTTGTTTTTAAGGCTTTGGTGGATCTGCATGTCTTCTCTAAATGATGAAATCCTTGAAAACCAGTCCAAATTTTTGGAGCATGAAAAGGCAACTTGTCAATACCTTCATTTCAGCATTTGATTTATCACTCCATATGTTTTCCCTGGTCTGAGACAAATTTTAGGTGAATCATTGCCTCATTTTGGAATACGACAGATGCTTTGTACACTGAGTTGCTACATTGCTTGTCAATGTCTCATTCATGGTACGAGTCAGATGAATGCCGACACAAAACTTCCTAACAGTCTAATATCATGGTACGTAATATGACTGACTTTTGTGATGTTGCCAGGGTCATTTAAAAAATTATTTCTTGGAACTTCTGGGTCACACCACGTATTGTATACGGCATTTCAAAAATATTCTGGTTAGCATTACTTCTAAAGTGACTGAATAATTCTGAATTTCTGCGATAATGATTGCTCAAAAAAGTGTGATCGATTTCAATATGATGGAATGATTGTAATGTTCTTACGAAATGTCGATGAAGAATTGGGAATGAATATTTCTGGTGAGGATCAATGCGACCAAAGATATCATGAACACTCTATGAAAGGCAGGTTTCCATTTCTGGAAATGTCGAAACAACTTCCCCACCTGCAATTTGGAAGTGCGTGCTTTTTTAAATAGGAGACGGAGTTACCAAAATATAAGGAACTAGAAAGATTGTATGGGAATGTACGCTTCAAATGTTCAAGTCGTGAAAGGAAAAATACATTTGAATGCTCTGAACATTATGGAGCAGATGGATCGAAAAGTAATGCACCCTCATAAATGAGGCCAGCCGCATACCTAACTGACGCGTAACCAAAAATAGTTTATAGGCCTTACCTGCATGACGGCGCGAGGGCACGACGACAGCTGAGGATCACCATGACAAACCACAAACCTTCTTCTTGGCTTGACAAGGAGGAAAAATTTTGGGAAATATGAAAAGTCGTTGCTCGGCGTTTCGTCTGTAAATTACTCCATCGCTTGACAAAGGTGAATCGATTTTTTAGCTGATTTAGTACTAGGTGGTATTTGTCGACATTTCCCTTGGAAAATGTTGAAATATTTTTATCCCTTCAAGAAATTTATAAATTTGGTAATTTTTCACCATTTTCAGTCATTTGGAACTTTCGAATAATAATTTCTTCACACAGTAATGTTTCAAGGAAAAAGAACTTAACATACCAGTGACTTTCTTGGGGAGCGAACAAACTTGTTATTGTGACGATATCTCGTCTGGCGTGGCCGGTAGTACTAAAAATTACGATGATGGACTTGAGAAGTTACGAGCAAACTGCTCAAAAAAGTTGGATCTATTATCATTGGAAGGTTTGTATTGGTCGACACGGAAACAATTTACCAGGGGCAAGGATTCCTATGCAGACCAAGTCTCACACAGATTCCATTTATTCTTCGCTTCACTTCTACATATTTCAGACAGAATAATTTTCATAGGATTCAGGTAATAGGGAAATTAGACACAAAGTCTCTCAGCACAACCTCACGAGTGAAACTCTTCCTTTCAAAGCATTTAGGCAAAATCTGGAAAGAGGAACGAATGTCTCCTTACCCTCGGTGCGGCACCATGCGCAGTGATCTCGTGATTGGAGGCAATCACGGCTAAGCAACGAAATCGGAAGGGATTGCTCAAGTTTCAACCTTCTAAACGCCTTCTTCTAATATGCCTCCGTGCTAGTTCTAAGAGTCCCTCCCAGCTCCAACCGGCTCTTAGGCCCTCAGCTCCAACCGAGTAGAACTAGCAAGGTCTCAATTTAAGAAATCTGACACAACCCAACACTTGATGGCTGTGGCGAGGTCAGGAACATTTTCTCTCTCTCTCACTCTCTCTTGAAGAGGCTTTGAACGGAATTTCATATAAAGTTCCCTCCTTCGGTTTTCGTCACAGTCATTACAGCATGCTTTATGCCTGATGACTGGATAGATGATTTAGAAAGTATCGATTGTCCCGTAGGAAAATAGAGGAAGGTCGGACCTTCCATTCCGCTAGGCACATGTCTTCGGAGTCCCATAGATCAAAAGGAACCACTTCCTCCCCTCGTGACTGTTCCTTTTCCCCTGAATGACAGATCGGGGCCGGAGGGGATTCGAATAGCAGTAATTTTCTCAATTCCTGGAACATCTTCGAACGTCAGGCGAATGGAGGTTCCCTGTCCCTAGATCTCTACACTATTGTCGCGCTCCATTTTCTTTCATGATTATTAGATCATTCATTCGTTTTCGAGGTTTCAAGAAACTTTTTTAAAGAATGTCTCTCTCGAAATATGTGCCATGAGGGAAAATAAAAATTGATATATTTCCCTACCATAATCTGCCCAACGGGGCATATTTAAAAGGTAGGATTTTTCCTGAACTCAACATTCCGTCAGTTATGCGTGTGCCATGTACCACCTTTCTATTTCTGCCAATTCGCTGGGCAAAAAAAAGTCTTAAAAAAATATACCCCCAGGGAATGTATCTGAACCCAGGAAATTTCACTCGACTAGTGTGTCAGTATTTCTCTTAAGTCTTCAAGTTGCATCTGGTCATTAGAAGTCATTGCCCGTCTAATTTTATCAATATTAAGCAAGTTCTGAATTCTTTCATTTCCTCTGGAATTATTCCCATGAACACTTTCCATCTTACCGAGTCATACACAACTCCGTGAGAGTCGTTTTCCTTAGACGAAAATACATGAGGTTACAAATTCGCCTATCCTATTAAGGAACATGAAAAGTTGGAGAACCCCAATCTAATGTTTCTCACTGATGTGCACTTTCGGAAAAGAAAGTTAGGGAAGGTAAATATTATTCCTATTGGCGTATTTATAGTTTCAAAAAATAATCTGGCAAATACTATTATTAACGTATACCCCTGGGGATATTCCGAAGAAATAGAATCTTTCCAAAAATAATAGGCTTGTTATTACTATGTCGTTGAAACCTCCTGAAATAACCTAATGTAACTTGGACCCCGGTGAAGCAGGGTTCATGTATCTGCATAAGAGTAATCCCGACTTCGATCGACCTCCCTCTTGCGAGACGACTGTCTCTTCCTGTCAAATAATTTAACTTTAATAACTCTACCAGTACGTCTACTTGCAGATCGGCATTTTGCATCTATTGGAGAAAAATGTTTGTGAAATTTACCTCGAGAAAATTTGACGCATCGACGTAATAATTTCTCTTCAAAGGGATTCGATGGATACATTTGATGAGCTCTGCGCCGTGGTGTGGAATGGAGGAGTTTTGGTTGCCCAGGAATGTGACATGGAATGACATGAAGTCATTACCGGGAAGGCCGATGCCGGAATACCAGTCTACGTCTTTCCCATCACAGTCACTTTCATCCTCCTTCGGGTCTTCCTGGAATTGTCAGTGTTTCATTTATTAATGAGTCTTTCGCGGACTCGATTCGTTCTCTGCTACCCTGTTGATTTCCATATTGTTCATGCAGCATCATCATGGAACCCCTGACAAGGGCGAAGGTAGAAAAGGTATGAGTCTTCCGTCAGTACGGGATGGTCAAGGGCGATGGACACTTTGTGTGATGGAGAAGCCATGAGGCTCCTATCCATGAAAGTCATTCTTTCGATGGAGATTTATTCTTACCATCAATTGTTGGTGATGCAGTACAGCAAATCTCTAACTGCAAGCGGAAATGCGATCCAAAAGGAAAAGGAGGACCTCATA